TCGATTTAAAATATAAATTTTGTTTTTGATAAAGGACGTTTTCCTTATGCCGTGCAAATTCAAAATAGTTTGACTAAAAAAAATAAAATAATTATTCATTGTGATCACCTTCTTTCAAAATTATTTTAATCAACTTTTAGTGAGCCACAGGCCGCCCTAGCTAAAAGGATTCTTCTTTTTAACATGAGCAGTCGCAGTTATATTCCTTTTTATAAAATTACGCGGCGCTTAGCATAAGCTTTTCTTTTGGCTTTATTTTGATAGGTTAGAGTAGTTACGAATTTGATAAAATTTAATAATTTTAGCTCAAAATTTATATTTATATTAAAAGAATTATTAATATATATAAATAACTTATTCAAAATTTAGTAAAAAAGAATTATTATGATTCAAAATATATACACTAAATTTTTTGACTCCGCTTTCAATTGTATTACATTTATATTTTTGGTAACTTTATGATAAGAAATAGAAGATTTGATTCTCTTGTCGTGGTTAATATTGTAGTTTTTAAATGCTGATCAAGGCATATGCCATAATGCTTGTTGGACAAAATTCAAGTTTTAATTTATACTATTTTTTTTCATTTCAATTTGTTTATATGATTTTAATTAAAAAGATGTCAGAAAAAAAGAAAAACAAATATTTTTTTAAAACAGATTAAAAAGAAAAGTAACGCAATTTTTTTTGACAAGAGCCAAATGCCTTCTATAAGGCTCAAATATAGCAAAGGCAATTTTTTTTGTCAGTTAATTATATGTGTAGGTCTTTTGCGAGGGTTGGACCGTTTATGTTAGCCTGCCCTTCCCTCTTTTCGTGAAGGATACATTTTTATCTTTGTGTTATATTCATAGGTAAGATGAAATTTCCTTCTTGTATTTTCCTCATGATATATAACATCCTAGATATATAGCTTGGGATATTAATTCAAACAAATTGAAATCGAAAAAATGATATATTACATGAATGATATAAATGAGTTTTACATTATTGACGTATGCTAATATATTATAACATGTCACTTACCTTATTTTTTAAAGGTAATTTATCCCGTACAGTACTTATCATAAGTAGTTAAATGTAATTATCTCTTGTTTAATATGATAGTAAATTATTTTTCATATTGCCAGTGAATAAAAGTTACTCTATTTTTCAAGATATCTTTATATTTTGGATATTAAAAAGGAACTTAACTTTAATCAAGAGTTCATTACAGTTGTGTTAATTTAATTAAAGTAAACTCATGGTAATACATGAATCAGCTTTGACACATTTTGTCACCTTTTGATGTACTTAATCTCCTATCATGTGTTTGTTTAATTAATTCACTAATTATGATTATGTACTTTATCTGTGTACCACGATCGGTGCTTTTTTTTAGTCTTTAATGCTTGATAAGTAGAAGGAAAGTGCAATCCACCAAGCAACCTCTAAAAAATAATACTCTACCAAGCCTCGTCAATGACGGAGTCAGGAATTTGTTGAAAAATTATACCATGTAAAAAATTAAATATTTATATATATATATATATATA